TTGAACCGGTAGCAATTTGTCCCGCTGTCGTGTGTGACTGCGTGGTCATATTTCCAGGGTCTGCCAAGCAAGAGGTGTGTTGCTAGCATTGGTACAACATCGCACACGAGCTCATCCTTGTAGCCTCCAATTTCAAAAGCAACACGAGCTCGTTTGGTGACCTTGAGAGCTCCGTAATCGTTCAACCAATGCAGGCTGTATGGCTCGAGATGCTTAATTGTCTCGATACCCAATTTCTTGACGGTGTCGAGACTAATTACATTTTTACAGCTTCCCCCATCAACGACCACGGACAAGCACTTGCCGTTGACGAGACATCGTGTATCAAACAGGTTTGTTCGTTGGTCAAGATCGGTTTCGCCTTCTGCCGTTAAAACCCGTAAATTCATCCCCGAAAGAAAGGGTCCTGGCTAAGCTTCCATCTCTTCATCAACTTCTTCTTCCGATTACCCGTTCTTCGCGTCAGCACCTTGAGTTTCATCATCAGAGACATACTCACCGCCTCGCAAGACCAATGTTTTAAGAGTAGGACAGTGAATCGCCTTGTGACCACGACCGTGGCACCTGAAACATTGGATTGACCCACTGGAGGGTCCAATTCGTTCGGCGGGTGTTGAATTCTTTGGAGTAGGCTTGGCGATGTCTGGCTTAGTCACTTCAGCTGTCGTCTCTGCTCCTGGTTTTGAGAATCGCCTTCCCGCACAGCTTCTGCTGTTTCTCTACTTTGATGGCGAGATGAAGCACATCTTCCAATTCCACAAAAGGCCGCAATTCCAATTCATGTCGAATTTCTCGACTCAACCCATGGAGGAATCGGGCGATCGTGGCCTCTCTGTCTTCCCTGACGTCAGCTCGCATAAGAAGCAACTCGAGCTCCCGATAATACTCCTCAACACTCCTTGTTCCCTATCGAATTCCATACAGTGTTTCATGGAGTTCACGCTGATAGTACGCAGGAACGAACCGCCCTCGCATCAAGGCTCGCAGTTCCTCCCAAGTTGTCACAGGAACCTGCCCATTTTGTCGGCGGCGAACCTGGAGTTGCTCCCACCACTGAGCATCGTACTTTGTGAATTCGTAGGTAGCTAACGCTACCTTTTGTTGGTCTGTGTAGCGCCCACATTGAAAGAATAACAGAATCTTTCGTTCCCAATCCAAGTATGCCGATGCGTTCAACGTACCCTGAAATGCCGGCACAGAAAGCTTAATCCCAGGTGGGATTGCTGGCTCGTCGTCGTGATTTTCTCGTCGATCTCGCACATGCCGATCACGGTTGGGCTCAGCTACTACCAAACGTAGTTCAAGCTCCTCAATCCGACCCAATACTGCTGGGTTTACTTCGGGGAATTCATCATCACGAACCTCCCTGTCTTGGACTCTGTTTTCTGGTGGCGCAATTGCGTCAAATCGTTGGTCGATTTCGCGCTTCAATTGGCCCAATTGAGCCTGGAATCTTGCATTAATCTGGGTCAAAAACTCCTCCATGTCGAACTGATGTCCAGCCATGGTTTATTGGGTCAATTGATCCTGGATCTCGTCTTTCGGAGCGTGCTCTGGCCCTTTCCATCGAAGAGCAGGGTCAGCTAACGCAGACCCTTTCGATCTTGTCCACGGCGCGGTTGCCACCACACCTTCCTCCGTTCTGTCCTCTGTGTAGAACCAGGATCTGATACCACTTTATACGAGCACAAGAGCTGCTCGTTTGACAGAATACGCAGCACAATTTCCAAACCAAAGAATGGAATGAAAACTCGGACAAACTTAAAACGAAAACGGACCAAAGGTGCAATCTTTCACGTGGAAGATGGCTCGATTGGTTTGAAGCGAAGCTCGACCACGATTGATGCGGTTTCAATGCCCTTTAAATAAACAACAAAACAACCTAATTCTAACTCAAAACTAACAAGGAAATCAATATCTAACTCTAGTTTAACAAGGAGACATAATCCCAACTCTAAAAGGTAACAAAAACCAATTGCTTCTCGTCCAAGCTGCTGCCTTCCTGCGCAAGCAATGGTACTAGCCTCCATAGCATCTTTGAAGCCCTCGATTGTGATCTTCCAAGGATCAACGTCCCAAACAGGCTTCAGTCGTTTGCTCTCCTGATTTCATAGTTCAACTTTCAACCCTTCTTGTCCTTCAACGTTACACCATCTGAATTGAATAAGCCTCCAAAGATGGGGGATTTTTCCAATAATAGCACGTTTAAAAAAAATTACAAAACTAGCACCCATCCGAAAAAATTGACAGAAATAGCACCATTTTTAATGGAACGCACCCCTAAGGTGCGTTTTACTTATAAACCGCACCTTAGGGGTGCGTTCCAAGCCACGTCAACACACGAAACGCACCAGGAAGGTGTGGTTTACTTATTCTGCGGAACGGTCTTCAAGACCGTTGGATGGAGGAGCGATCGGAGGGCGGACCGCGCGCCAGCAGAGCGATCCGTGCCACGAATCGGGGACCTCAGGGCCGAGGTGCGGTCAAGCCTGGGGAAGAGCAAACCGCCTCGGCAAGGCGCGGTTTTGGCTTGGGCAAAATTACCCAACCGCCCCGGAGGGTGCGGTCTGTTGGGTATAAATACCCTCCCTTCCCCTCTCATTTCTTCACACCACAACTCATTCTTCCTTCTCTCTCTAGAATTTATCTCTCTAAACCCTCCCCTCCCAAAAGCCTTGAAAATAGTGGTCTGTTGGTTGCGGCTAAGTACGATCTGCCATCAGAAAACATTTCTTAGGTTTTTTCCTCAAAACACGACGAGCCGAATCTCTGTCCGAATTTTGGTTTTTTCCTCAAAACCCGCCGAGCCTTGCCGAATCTCTGTCCGAATTTCCCGAAAAAATGGCCGATTGGTGGCAAGGAGAGGTAGTTTGTGTTGATGAATTTCAAGCGGTACGTACTCATTATTCTGGTTTACTTTTTGTTGTTGTTATAAGTTTTTTAATTAATCTATGTACTAACCTCGTTGTTATTTTCTCGTAGGTTGGGGAGGACGTGGATATATACAACCAACGGTATTATCTCGAGCAAGGACCGTTAGATCCACCCGACTTGTACGACCAACCCAACCATCGGTCAAGGGATGTTTGGAACGATCACCCGGTACATACAATTCTTCACCATTTGGCCTTCTTTTATTTTGTTAATGTATTTAGTGGAATATAAAATAAATTTATGTTGATTTTTTAATCGTGTTGGTTGTTTTCAATAATTTAATCGAATACATAGCGCCACTTACTTCGACTCTTTATAAAGAGATGCACGTCTAAGGAAATGAGGTTTTAAGCGATTATCATATCCTCCCATTCCCTGGGAAAATCGGGTATTAAGAGATCCTCGGATCCCCCCTTTTTCTGTCAAAAAGACTGCGTTTCTAAGAAGATGTATACCTCTTCTAAGAGTCTAACGAGTATTGCTCTATATTCGATTAAATTATTTAAAACAACCAATACGATTAAATTATTTGCCAAACAACCAATACGATTTATTTTTATGTGTACAAAATGAATTTTATTAATTTCAAACATTTGAATATGTATGTTTCTCTTTAAATTATTATTCATTAACAATGTTATTTATGTTAATTAATTTAGTATGTTTGTTTTATGATAATATGTATGTATCTCTTTAAATTATTATTCATTTAGAATGTTATTATGTTAATTAATTTAGGATGTTTGTTTTATGATAATATGGATGTATCTCTTTAAATTATTATTGATTTAATTATATGAAATGTCTTTTTATGATAATAAAATTATGCTTGAAGTTAAATAATTTAATTTAATTAATTTAGTTATAAGAAAAAAACCCTTACTAATATATAATAATTAACGTGTAAATTTTCGCTAGGAGGCACAAACAATACTCCGATACACGGGTACGACCAATGTGCTCCCATTCCACCCAGCTATCTTGCCCTTTCTCAAAAGGGCACGGTTGGACCTGATTAGGCATTTTAACGGCATCAAAGTTGATCGCCAACTCATCACCGCATTAGCCGAGAGATGGAGAAAGGAGACCCATTGTTTCAACTTTAGAGAAGAGAGGCCACCATCACGCTAAAGGATGTCGCCATCCTAACCCATCTGCCCATCGACGGCAAAGCGGTGTGCGTGAGTGATCATCCCCCCGAGGATCGTGACGCTATGCCCGGTTGGGTTCATTTCATCCACAATGTTTTGGGAGTGAAAGTACCGGTGAAGGGGTGCGTTGATGCGACCGATCGCATGCCACCAATGAGGAAACACCAATTCTCAATTACTTGGTTGACGAAGTATTTTAGAGACCATTACGAGAGTCATCCCCTAACCGAGGAAAGTCCGGAGGATGAGAAGGAGAGATATGCTCGTGTCTATCTCATAGGCATGATCTGAGGAGTGTTATTCTCCAAAAAATCAAGCAATCTCCTTAGTTTTGGATGGCTTAGGATCATCCTCGGTAGTTGGGAGGAGATGTGGGAGTATAGCTGGGCATCCGCTTGCCTAGCTAATATCTACCACAACTTGTGCAATGCGTCTCTAAAAGTTGTGAGGGAGGTCGGCGGCGCAATGTTCATCGTCCAATTTTGGGCTTGGGAGCATATGCCATGGATTGCACCAGTCCAACGTCCCGACAGGGATTGGCCAATCGATCATCAGGTGAAGCTTATGGTACAAGGTAAACTTCTCATACCCCATCATGTTTTTCATAACACATTTTCCCTTGTGTTTTAGCTTATTGTAGTTTCATTATTGTCTTATTAATAAGATGGCTCGGACACACAACATGCGACAACCTTGCCCAACACAAGTTGGACGAGTATCGGAGGAGGTTTGAGCGACTTTGGGAAGGAGAGGTAAATTCTATACTTCGATCCATATATATCTTTTTTCCATGGGACTACATGTATTTTTCCAATTATGACTATCTTAAGTTACTCATTTCTTTCTTGTAGATCGTCTTCGATCCATACCCGGTGAACATCGTTCATTGGCATCTCCAGCAATTCCCCGGTCATATCGGGCAATGGTGCACGAGGGTCCCTCTAATTTGTTTTGGGACCGTGGAGTGGCACTTTCCGGATCGATGCCTCCGTCAGTTTGGTCGGGAGCAGTGCATTCTGTTGGAGGTCCCCGATAGCCAAGGGCCTTTCATGGCCGAGATGGTCGGCAAGGTACTCGCGATTGGCCCACGAAGTTGGCGAAATTCATCACGATTTGGTAGAACCGACAATCCCAGGATATTGTCACTCCAACTCAAGTGGGTCGAATGGGGTATCATGACCCATACTTGGATCGATATCGGCAAACATCGGTTCGTTACATGACTGCGGAGGGTGCGGCCGATGGTGCATTAGTAAGTATATTCCGTCTAAACAATTAAATTTATTACTTGGTTCCTAAGTCTTTTTCTAACTTTTTCTTTTTTGTGATTTAGGTTGATGGGATCGAGCGGATCAAAGATATGACCACCAGGAGAATTGAGCTGGGCAATGAAGATGTGAGCTTCATCAGGAGGATGGCAAACAGTTTGCTTGGCTGTATCAGAGCTCAGGGTCGGGATCATCGTAGATATCCGCCCATGCCCGCACCCCCGCCACCTCCGGTACAAGTTGATGTCCCCGATCTCCCACCACCATACGAGAGAAAGAAGAGCAAGAGGGTTCGGGAAAGGCCCAACGTGCCCGACGTAACGCCAATGGGGGAGTGGAAAGTGCCGCCCCCATTGGTTGTGACACATGGTGCCAGACCGAGTTCCACCCAAGCTCCCCGCCCGAGTTCCGCCCAAGATCCCCGCCCGTGTTCATCCCAAGAGTTCTGCCCCTCCTACCACAACGATCCCCACCCAAGCTCATACTACGATCCCCACTCGACCTACCATCAATCCCCTCCGAGTTTCCATCAATCCCCATATGATCCCACCCCGATCTCATTCAACGATCCCCGACAAACATCATCGGGTACTTGGCATGATGGCTCTTCCACGACGGCGCACCACGAATTCAACCCATTGACTCGCCCTCATCAGCAGTGGCCTCCTACTCCTCACCGTATGAGCGGGAATGTCCCCCGCTTGACCCCGGAAGCGCCGCTTCCCCGCCGACATAGCACCGACGAGCGCCACACTACCTCGGCCATTCGAAACTTGCAACCGCAACCACCTGTTGTTACTCCCGTCGGCAAACGTACAAGGAGCAAGAAAACTGTGGCCTCCGATGAAGCTCGTGGACTTCCTTGAGATGTATTTTGAGTTGAATTTTATTTCTATGTACTTGGAACTATTTCCCTTATCTTAATTTATTTAATTGAGTGTTGTTTCAATTTGGGTTTTATTTCTATGTACTTGGAACTATTTCCCCTTATCTTTAGTTTATTTAATTGAGTGTTGTTTCAATTTGGGTTTTATTTCTATGTACTTGGAACTATTTCCTATTATCTTAGTTTATTTAATTGAGTGTTGTTTCAATTTGTTTTTATTTCTATGTCCTTGGAACTATTCCTCTTCACTTGATATAATCCTAATTCGTTCAATGAACAATACAAAATTACTTGCAAAGTAAGAGTCTCAACTAGCTTGAAGAATGATAATCGCAAATTATGTCGCATTAGCTGAGTCCGGCACATCAGCACCCGAATTTTGCGGACCAATCGGTCCTGGACACCTTCGTTTATCATGTCCTGGAACTGTGCATATGGAACATCGTCTTGGGCCTCGTGGTGGTCTTCCACTTTGATCCATTTCGTTATCTCTTTTTCCTCGGGCGACCCGGTTCACGCCTCTGTCCGAACGGCGGTATGATCAATTTTCCTTCGTACAACGGCCAATAAGCTTCATCAGGTAATGCACGAACACTCCATCCATAGGTGTTTTTGAGTGAGTCGATATTGAAGAATGGACTAACGAAGTGACGGGGGTCTTTGCTCATGTTTTTAATTACGACCATTGCATGAGAACAAGGCCACCCTCTCCCCTGATACTTCTGGCATGAGCACTCACCAACTTTTGTCCTGAAATTGACCAAAACTTCATGGCGGTGGCCTCCCCGTCTAACATCCTCCCGATGTCCGGTCGTCACGCTATACTCGCCATTTGCCCGATTCATAACGGTTACACTATGTCGACTGCTCTTGCGATTGTCATTCTCCATTACTTCCATGACTTTATAGGCATGGACCTTTCCCTGTGCCTCGTTCGTCCTTGCCCAGTGGATTCGGTTGACAAGCCATGCATTCGTTTTCCAAAAAAGTCATCTCCACAATGGCAGAGATTGGCAGTGCACGAACGGCCTTGTAGACAGAGTTGATACTCTCACCCGAGTTCGTTGTGGCAATACCCCATCTTGTCCCTCCATCTTTATGAAATGTCCACATGGATAGGTCGTGTCCATCCAGCCACTGTGCCCCTTCAGGGCATAACTCGCGCATCTTCTGCATCTTCTCCATAATTTTTTTCTCTTGGTAGGCAACCGCTGAGGAAGACACATAAAAGTAGTACGTTAGTCTCGTTAGACTCTTAGGAGAGGTATACATCTCCTTAGAAACACAGTCTGTTTGACAGAAAAAGGGGGGATCCGAAGATCGCTTAAAACCCGATTTTCCCAAGAAATGGGAGGACCATGATAATCGCTTAAAACCCCATTTCCTTAGGCATGCATCTCTATAGAAAGAGTCTAACAAGTGCACAACTCTCTTGATTACAAGATATTGTTAGCTGACAAAATTAAACAGCTAATAGAAAACTTACCAATCCACCACAAATTATCAGCAAGCTTCTTCCGCTTGAAATGATGGTTCCAGTTGCTCTTGAAGTGTCGTATGCACCACCTTTGGGACCACTTCCAGGCTGGATCTAAACCTAAGATGGCAGCTCTAATGCCGGCGTGCCGATTAGAGATTATTGTCAGGTTCGTCCTCCTAGTGACGTGGATTTGAATTTGCCGGAAAAACCATCCATAGCTATCAGCATTCTCTCCCTCAACAATGGCGAAGGCTAAAGGAAAGACTTGTCTGTTTGCATCCGCCCCACTGGAAATCAGGAGAGTGCCCTTGTATTTGCCGGTAAGGAATGTACCATCCACTTGGATCACAGGGACACATAAGCCAAAACCATCAATAGATGGCTTGAATGCCCAAAAAAGTCATCTGAAATGGCGCTTGTTACCTGGCTCTGGGGGTTGTATCTCTTCATCTTGGCATCGAGGGGAGAAAACCGTGCTAGGGTTAGACGCCTCCAATGCCAAAATTAACCTGGGAAGGAATGCATATGATTCTTCCCAATCACCAAAGACGGCAGCCAGAGCTTTCTGCTTTCCATGCGACGCCTTCTTATAGTTAATCATATAACCATAACGACTTGCAATGTTAGCGATTATGACTTTCACCTTCAGGTCCGGATCTTGCTCAATTAGATGCTTGATAGCCGCAGCAACCACCCTGGATTTCAACTGCCGATGGCCTTGGGAAGTTATGGATGACACACATGTGTGTGTGTTCACCGCACAGGATATGACCCAGTGGCCATGTCTCTTGCTGTTGGTGGCCCGAATCCTAAAATTGCACCCCTCGTGATGATTATGGCATCTGACTATGAGCCTTTTAGTGTTGGAATGAGTTGTGTGCCATTCAAAATCCTGAGTCATTGCCTCAGTCTCAATGGCGTGCCGCACCTCCTTCTTCGAGCCAAATTGTTTGGCCCTTCATAAACCCAGTGAGTGGACCCCATATTGGGACCTCTGGGGGCTTCATATCGTTGTCGACCATCCAATTGTCGTCTGGAATGTGATTGTAGTAGGGGACTGGTACACGGTCACGAGCCACCTCATCATCATTAGCTGAGTCTGACTCTGGTCCTGAATCATCAGCACCTTCAAGAGGGTCGGAGCTGTTTGCACTGACGTTGTTCTCTCCTTCTTCGTCGGAGGGGTCACTGACTGGTGCTGGCAGGGCATCCTCCATCTGATCCAGCTCATGAAAGGCACCTTCATCAGCTCCATAATGGTAGTTGTGAAAACTACCGCTGCCTGATTGGAAGTTGTACTGAGGTTGGTTGGGGAGGTCCGGTTGAACTTCTTCTTCATATGACGGGAAAGATTGATGATGACCTTCACCTTGCTCTTGGTACTGAAAATAGGAATGAGGATCATGGTAACTTTGGTAGGGATGATCGCCATATAATTCACCTCCATCATGGATACCAGATGTTTGACCGTGTCCAGAATGACCTCCAACGCCTACGACCGGCTCAGTGTAAACGAACATCTCGGCTTTGGAGAGCTTGTTGGACCTCAAGAATTCGAGCATGGCATCTACCTCATCCTGAGTGGTTATGAGATATTCCTCATGCCACAATGACCCACTTTCTCTGTTTGGATATCGGTACACCATACGATCAACTCTTCTCGTGCCATCCATGCAAGTAACGTTAGTGCACATTTGATGGAGGTCTTCAAGCAGCGGTCTGGTAGCGACCTTTATCTTCTGAAAATTGCCACCGACGCAGGTGACCTCCTTTCCGGTCTCTTCCGTGTAACCATTCCACCGTAAGCCAAGCGTGAATGTTTGGAATGCCATCTGCAAAAAAAAACCGTAGTTTAGTTAATATCATAAAAATGAAAAATAACATTAAAAAGTAATACAAAATAAACTTACGAGTTAACGTTAGTCGCAAAACTACTAAAGAAATATAGAGCTACAACAGAAAATTTAAAAGGGAGAAGGAGAGGTGTGAAGAGAAGTGGTTTTCCGGGAAGCCTTTTATAGACAAAATCACTGATGAAAACCGCACCTTAGAGGTGCGTTTTCGTCTGCCATGCAGGACCATGTAGACCCACGTCTGTTATTCTGCATGGCATGTCGGAAATTAATTGACCAAAACCGCACCTTGAGGGTGCGGTTTGTGTGGCAAAACCGCATCTCCATGCTGCAGTTTTGCTAGGTCAGGCCAAAACCGCACCTTGGCCACGCGGTTTCTGTAGGTCAGACCTGAAACCACTCGGCCAAGATGCGGTTTTGGTCCATGATTATAAACCGCACCTTAGAGGTGCGTTTTATATATAAACCGCACCCTCAGGGAGGAATGTTCTCCAGGTCAGGCCAAAATTTTACCCCACTCAACAATCCACGGAGGAATGTTCTCCAGGTCATTCAAGATAAAAAGCTTCCGGTGACATGGCCACCTCGAGGTCGCATAAAACCAAGAAAAGGTGACTTTCATAAGGTCGCATAAAACCAAGAAAAGGTGACTTTCATAAGGTATACGGGCATGACACCGAGGAATGCGAAAAATTGGGAAGATCCATCGAGGGACTGATTCAAAATGGGAAACTTAAGCAGTTCATCCAAAGCTCCAAAGGCTCAATCCAACAACCTTCGTCATCAGACAAAGGAAAAGCTCCACAAGGAAGCGGACCTGTGTTAGGTGTCATCCCAGTCATACATGGAGGAACTGGACTACGACAAGAATTGTCCACCTCTCGTAAGACGTATGCTCGAACTTTGGTTGGTTCCACCTCCACTATCTCATATCAAAATCCTATCATTTTTGATTCCCGAGATCTCGAGGATATCGAATATCCCCATGATGATCCTCTGGTGATTGAGGCTACCATCGCCAACTACACAGTAAAACGAGTTCTCATTGACGGAGGGAGCTCAGCCGACCTACTTTTTTACCCCGCT